AATGTGTTATTTGTTGACATTCTGGAATGAACTGCACGATGATGACATAATGGAGGGGGGAAAAAAAAAGTAATTTTCTCTCTCATATAATATAGAAATTGTAATAAAAAAAAATACAAGTGAGCACTACATTAAATCATATATGTCATCCTTTTACTCTTGCTCTGGTTTTAGATTGGCTTTCTTCCATTGGGAGGCAATTTATTTTATTTAGAGGAACGGCCTTTCTGATGAGGTTCTGTAATTATGTCTTTTTAAGCTGCTATGTTGTAAAACTATTTTGCAATGAACAAAATGTTCCCAAGAAGCAGAATTCTGCCAAGAAACTGGCCAGCTTAGTTCTTATTGAAATCCTGAAGACTCCATAGAACTAGGATTCTCCCAGCTAAAGAGAGCATTAGAGCTAGTCTGTGTTTGTTCTGAAACAAAATCTATTAGGAGCTATTCAAACTGATTGAAAGGACCAACAAGGTTGAATAAATAATAAAAGACGAAGGGGTTTTTGATACAAAAGAAATTCTGAAAGTGTTTTGACTCCTTACGCCAGACAAACTTTGCTCCGGGCCTTTTATTTTATTTAAAATGACAGATTGTAAAGGGAGGTTATCATTCACAGGTGATTTAAAAAGGCATTGTCATGAAACGAAGATTAGGAAGAAAATGCAGTTTGAATAGTCAGCGATTACTATAGAACGAGTTTGGCCAGATAAACAGGACTGAAGAATACCCCAAGGTCATTTAAGACCTATTAAACAAAGCTTTGTTAAATTGCATTGCATGGTACTATCTTATTAATATAGGATTTGCTTTGAAGGCAACTTAGTTTAATAATAGTGTTTTAAAGATTAAAAAGGAAAAAAAGAAGGTTTCTAAGTTACTGAAAAAAATACCCCACAACTAATATGAAAAAAGCTACGTAGTAAGAGAGATATATATCTCAGAGAGAGAAAAAAAAACTTTGGAAAATGCTCTTCACCCAAACAGAAAGACAAACATGGAGTCATAAAAGCTAAGAGCCATTATGCACACTGTTCAAACATCGCTTGATTAATGAAACCTAAACTTGTTAGGGTTAATTAGAGAAGACATTACATTAGGAAGTGTACAAGCCCCATGAATAATTCAGCCTTAGCCAAGCATATCACTTACTTTTTTTCACGGCTTAGATCGGTGCACAAAAACTGGTCAAGCTCAAGTGATTACACCAGCAAGTGTTAGTTTCAGGCTTATATGCCAAAAAATAAGTATAAGTGTGCGTGCGCTATATATATATATAAATATTAATCTATTTTTTTAATTAATTCATTTTTTTAACATAGAACGGTAGGCATGGTACTTCCTTGGAAGGAGCAGGCTAATCTTTGAGACACTAACTTCTTGTCTGTGTCATCCTGCAGAGACATCCAGAAAAGGTTTTTGCTAATCCCATAAATTAGCCATGATCTCTGCTGAGCCAAGGTTAGTAGATAAAGGAATGACTCAATAACCGCGCGGGACACTGTATAGCAATATGTTTAAGCTGGGATTATGAAAACACATATTGCTTAGAACAGTTTTGTTTAGCATGGTAACAGTCTGCTAAACAGACCTTTGTTCTAGTTCTTTTATTTTTTTACAGTGGCTGTTAGAGATAACTGCTTCAATTATCAAAGCTAGAATTTCCATAGCAACCTCCAGCTTTCAGATACCCTCTTTACACACGTACAACACCATTTAAATGATCTCCCTAAAACAAGAACTTGTGCTTATAGCAATAATAAAGTTGGCTTGTCTGAAAGGGTGGCGGCTTTAGCTGAACCTCACCTCCATCCTCTCCATGTACATCCAAACACAATGAAAGATTCTGCAAACATGACATAAATGCCATCTGAAGTAATCAAAATCACGTTTCATGACATCTTACCCCATATCGATCTGAAAATTGACATCTTATGTGTTGGAATGCCCCTATATTTCCTACAGCCATTATAGCATGACAGTGTTGTAAAGTGTGAAAATAATACTAGCCATCTAAAAGGGATTTAAACTGATTTGGTGACTGAGGCGCACAAACTAGAAGTTTACTCATGCTGGAAGACACTGCTGATTTTTGGGGGGACAGGAAGACAATACCTTTTGTAACAGGTCCTCTTACCTGCCTTAATTACTATTTCTCCAAAGACTGACTAGCCATCAGAGTTGGGGACCTCCTACAAAAAGTATATAGCCACCATAGTTGATTTATGTGACGGTCATCTCAAGACTAGAGGTATAGATTTAGAAAGATGATGTAGGCTCTAACTGGCTCTTCCTTCTATGATACACATGTAAACAAGGTTCATCAGACGGCGCAGCAATTAGGGAGGTGTAAAACTCCTGTCTGGTCACTAACGGGTTTCTCCCGGTAAGTGATTGCCCCGTCTCTAAACACAAATGGTCACCCAATGTGCCAATCACCCTCTGCTTTAGCAGAGTAATTTGAAAACACTCATTCAAAAGGGGGTCACCCTGCAGAGTGATAAAACGGTCATAGACGCTACAAGGTGATCAGATGTGCAGGCACAGTCCAACCATCTTCAGTCATCTGTAGAGGTCAGCATATTCTTAGAGATGAATAGTCTGTATTTAACTCAATATGGCGGGGAAGGTGCTGCAGATATCAGCTTATCGGAGTAAACACAGGAGCAATCAGACAAGATTCTCTCATTCTTATTGGACTGTCATATAAGGACTGTCTGCACCTTTACTTCCATTAACTTTTTTAGTAAAACCTTAAAGAACTTCAGGGCATATTAAAAATTAACCCTTGCAGTGGGGCTACCTCCACGCTGCAAGGGTTAAGTGCTCATTTCGGTCTAGAATTTAATTTAAAAAAAAATTAAAAAGGAAGGGAGGACATACTCACCTGATCCTCGGTTCCATGGAGGTGACCTCTCAACTCATTCCTCCACCTCCTCTCCAGCTGTGTTATGCCTTTGGCATCCTCAAATCTATTGCAAGTGAATGGACGTTACGACGGGTCCTTAGCCCACCATAGCCTGGGGAGAAGAGGTGGCAGGGATTGGTCTAGCAGCCAGACGGGACTCAGGATCTGCTGATTTATCACTTAACCCTTGCAGTGGGGCTCCCCCCCCCCCTCACTGCAAGGGTTAATTTTTATATGCTTCTTTATTATACTAGCAAGCATAGTGGCTTAGTGGTTAGCACATTTACCTTACAGCACTGAAATCCTCTGAGATTGCATGTTTTTCCCCTGTGTTTGACCCAACACTCCAAAGACATGTTAGTAAGTTAATTGGCTCCTGTCTAAATTGGCACTTTATATGTGTATGCATACATGCGAGATAGGGACCATAGAGTGTAAACTCCTTGAGAGCAGGGATTGATGTGAATGTACAGTATGTAAACTGCTGGAATTAAATTGTCAGCGCTTTCTAAATGCCTATAATAAATGCATAAATTGCAGAATCCTAAACTGATTTTATATGCTTTAAAATGTAAGCATAAAAGCCCCAAGGCAAAACTGTAATTCTGGCCATATGGCATTTTTTTTTAAAAAGGTCAAGCTTACACATTAAAATGTTAAGTGGTATACAGGCATAACAATAATGGTGTGCAGTATTCCTTAGCAAGCAATCCGCATTTAGTTTTCCAACTGTATTATGGTTAGAAACTACTCGACGTCCTACTTGTACTTTGTAAAAGCTCAACATTGCCGAAATGCACATTTATCCATGTCAAGAAGGCAGTTGTACATTATCCCCTAGTACTAAAACTCTCAATTAACATATATGGAAGAGGTTATCCAAACTTGTAGAACAAGAGCATAATAACTCAACATGAGATACTAGAACTTGTAGACTTTGCTTTGATCTTCTGTTTTGGAAGTTCCCAGATAGGGTCTCCAAGGCTACAACTGCCTGAGGCTTCAGTGACATTGTGGTCAAAGAAAAAAAAAAAAAACAAACCAGATGAATAGCTGGCCAATACATCACATAAATTCAACCTGTTTTGATATGAATGAATCACATAAGTTGTCCCCTCCATTCCTATGCAACACTGTACTCTAAGACAGCCTTTCTAAACCCTGGGGTGCTTCGAACATTTCCTAGAGCGGCCACTAATTCAGGGAGGGTGTGATCTATTCAGAAAAGAATGGACGTTCGCCTGATGTAATGGTAGGACCCTGGTATGAAAAGAGGACCAGGGACCATGGTTTGAAGGGGGGACCGGTAACCATAAAGGGGGCTTGTAATGTAAAAGGGGCTCTGTTGTGGAAGGGGGATTCTGATGTGAAGGCAGAACCCCATTTTTTTGTGTGCTTTTGCCTGGAGTCCCAGCTTACAAAACAATACCAGATCCTATCTGGAATAAGCCCAAAATGTTTTTTTTTACATTTTAGACTGGGGTTCCCTTGATACCTTTGCATACATTTAAAGAGTGCCATTACTGAAAAAAGGTTGAGAAATCTATTCCCGAATTCAGGAATGATTCATTAAAATTAGGATTCTCTGCAGTATATACTGTGTACATTTAGGTACATTAAAAAAAATGCTACCTGCCAATTTGAAAACCAAATTACGCATAGTCACTAGTAATGAACTCTACGTGAGATTTTAACGCAGAGCTCCGGTTTGACTTTAATCCTAGAGCGCTTTATGATTCAAATCTCAGCATAAATAATCATGTGACTAAAAGAGGTGGAGCCTGGAAAGAAAATGTGTTATGCACATGGACACAAGCATCATGACCTTTAAATATAGCCAGCCCACAAAATGTCTGTCTGCGCTGGAGCAAGACAACATCATTGGAAAACAAAAATCAAAATGTACTCAGACACACACACACAGCCAGGTGATTTAATTGAACTGTCACAGGGAATAAAGTGTCTGGCTAAATTAGCCCTGAATGAGTGACTTAAAGTGGAAAAAAAAACTACAGAATACACAAACTTCAATAAGGAAAAGGTTTCTATGAATAGTATTTACTCAGCCATTAAAATGAACAGTAAATGCACATACCAGTATGTGTTCTCAGGTGAGCTTTCAAATGGGATGACTTTGTATACACCTTTGTGCAGCCTGGAATAAAAAAACAAAAGAAGTGCATGCTGAATACAATAAAAACCGGTAATTTCTTTTTCGAAGTCAAAAGGAAGAAAAAACAAAACAAATGTCAATACGTTTCTAAAATCCAGAACAGACCTCACTGGTCGCCAATAAACAGGCGTAAAAAACTGCACAGTCTATAGAAATGTATCACGTGTTCAGGAAAACATTCCTACACTGCCCCCAATAGAAAGCCGGGCTCTGCTTTCATTAACATTACAACAGGTGTAGTTTGTCAGAATGTGTGTATAGATTTATTCTTATTATGCCGACTCATTTATCAGAGTTATTCCTAGGCTCACGTATTCATCTGCATTCTTACATTCTAAAAATACCTGGGGAGATTCCAGTACAGCACAGTTTATCGTTACTTGGCCATTGCCAAAAGGAAAGCTGGGATTGTTACATTTAAATTTACCACATTCTTTCCAAGTTCCATTAAATTCATTGGGCTCACAATGCCAACACCCCAGGATAAACATACTTATTAAAATAATTTTTTTTTTAAAGTGACAGTTATTTGCATTTGAATCCAATGACGTTTGAAAATGTCAGTCACATGACTAAAATAAAAGATACTAAAGCTGGCCATACGCTGCTTAGATTTTTTTAGAACTTTCATACGTAAGAACTTTCTATTAGTTGATGGTGATAAATTTCGACTGTAATGACAAAAAAGGAGCAGGATGGAAAACGTTTCTCGAAAAGAACAAAATTCTATGAAAGTGTTTTTTGTTCAGGAAACTCTATTCATCCCAAAATCTGAAAATTAAAATCAAATGAAATTTCAATCAAGATTTGTCAAGTGTGTCATGGCATTATCGGGTGGTAAAGAAAGAACTTTTGAACAAACGTTGGTTCAGACATCTACTAGTGTACGGCCAGCTTTAATTTAAAAAAAAAAAAAGTGACAGTTATTTTCATCTGAATATGACAGTCATGTGACTGAAGTAAAGATACTTATTCTTCTGTGTATTGAGCCTATTGTCGGTGTTCTGATTCAGAATGCCATGCCACCAATGCTTTATTAGCGTGCCTGAATGGAGCCAATAAAACCAGCATGACTTATTAATTCATGTTTAAAAACATGGCCGTAAATGTAAATAGGAATAGTTTGTTTTTGTGCCTTTATTTGTTGCTATTATTATCATCATCATCATCATCATCATCATCATCATCATCATCATCATCATCATCATCATCATCATTAAGAACCCCAAAAGGGATTTTTCCTATACAACTTGCCTAAAAAAAGTCACAAGAACATCCAGTATCCTGTGAATAGGTACCATCTCGTCTCTGTACTCATGATGAAAACCAAAGGGGAATTATACGAAGAGCTCCGAAGGCTTGATTGAGTTTGGTGGGCAAATATTGTAGACTAACCTTTAACTCCATACGCCGTAAAAGTATCTGACGCACTAAAAATAGTTCACAGCCACTTTCCTACATGCCGGAGAAGCTTGGTTCCCTAAGATGTGATCATTTTCTGCCCTTTTCAGACATATGGTCACAGCTTGTCTCTTTTCTGTATTTGTTCATAGATGATGTTCCATCTCACATTAGAAAGGCCATCAAACATTAATGTGTTACGATTTAAATAAAAAAAAAAATGTATAAAAATGAAAGAGTAGGGAATTTGCATTTGATTAGAATTTGGTATAAAAGTACAGAGCTACACCAGGTTTACTGTTGCTCTTGTGAAATATGAAACGGCAGTAAAGCTGTGCAATTCGATTCAAATAGCTATTTATATGGCCCCATATAATTTCCCATCATACTATATGCACCTATACACAAAGTCATACAAAAGATTTTGTTGACATGTTGTGACGTCTAACCATCTATAGAATGACAACACAGACTTTAGACCTCCCTTGGTACCAGATTTATGAAAAGTTTATACTTTCTTCCTCCTGGAGCCACTAATTGTGGTTCAGAAACAAATGTTTAAATGGCTGGGTAGTGATTAATGTTTATAACTAGGGATGCACTGATGGGTGTCGATGCCAAGTATTTGGGCAAGTACTCGCCCAAAATGCTCCGATGCCTAGCCCGATACTTCCGGTATCAGGAAGCCGGGATGCGCATCATTACACGCTGCCACGCTTCCGGTATCAGGAAGCCAGGTGCTGTGTAATGAGGCTGCCTTGCTTTCTGATTGGTCGGGAAGCCGGCTTCATGCTCCCTTGTCACCTTATGATGAGGGAACATTGAGCCGGCTCCCCGGCCAATCAGGAAGCCGGGTGCCGCGTCATTACACAGCACCCGACTTCCTGATTGGCCAGAAAGCCGGCTCCATGCTTTGTCGTCACCTAGTGACAAGGAGCATGGGTACGGCTTCCCTGCTAATCGGGAAACCAGGTGGCGAGTCATTACACGCTGCCCAGCTTCCTGGGTAATCAGGAAGCCAGGTGGCGAGAATATATTCTCACCCTCGACTACATCAACAACCTTGTTGTGTAAGCAGCTACATTATAGCTACTTCGGCCTACATCAGGGCCAGGCTCACAGTGGTGACCAACATGGTCGGGGCCATGACACATCCGTGACTCTTGGAGTAGGATTCGTACAAAGTCATTCATTATTATAATATATAAACATCTTCTTTAATGTTAAATCACATAACTTCTTTTTTTCACTATTGTTAAATCTGCAACTTCCTGGTATTAGGTTACTTGTTCAAGCACTTCCTGTATTAGGTGACAACGATCCGGCATTTCTCCCTTTTGTGATCCTGCATTGTCCCCCTGCCACACAGGTTTCATTAAAATACTGCCTGGTGATCCAGTAATTAGGTTCCTTGTTCAAGCACTTCCTGTTATTAGGTGACAACTCTCTGGCTTTTCTCCATTTGTGCTCCTGCATTGTCCCCCTGCCACACAGGTTGTCATTACAATTCCTGGTTTCCTGTCATTAGGTTCCTTATTCAAATGCTTCCTGTTATTAGGTGACAACGCTCTGGCCTTTCCCACTTTTGTGCTCCTGCTTTATCACTCTGCCACACAAGTTTTCATTAAAGTAATACCTGGTGATTCTGTCTTTATTTTCCTTAATCAAACACTTCCTGTTATTAGGTAACAACACTCTGGCTTTTCTCCCACTTGTGCTGCCTTTTAAAGACACATTATGCAGGCAAGGTCAACTGTTGTCACCATGAGGAAATGCCATAAAGCCATCCCACATAGACAGGACTTGGCTAAGAGTCTGCAATGGATCAGCATTGAGCTGCAACACAGGATGGAAAAAATTAAAACCAGTATTTGATTTAAAAAAACAATTGTTTATCTGTCCAACAACGGATGCACACTGCGAATGTTCATCCACTATAGCTTATTAAAATCCAGTTGACAAGGTCTTGTGGTCCCCACCTGATGTTTTCCCAACACTAACGCGTTTCACCCTCTTGGATTTAATCGTAGAGTGGTGGATGATTATGGGAGGGATCCTCTTGAGCGCACAACACGGGTGAAAACCTTAAAACAATCATTGCACTTCTTAAACTGAGCCATTTGGGAAGCTCAATTTAAGAAGTGCAACTGAAAGTGTCAATTGGATTTTAGTAAAGATATAGTTGATGAAGATTCGCAGTGTGCAGATGTTTTTGGGCCGAGTTGCAGTGGGGTGTGGAAGGCCCGTTGGCCAGCACCCTTGGTGAGCCCTGGCAATGGGGCCGGGATCTGGACGGAATGGTGAGCGGCTCTCTTGGGTTTAGATGGCAATTGTTTATGATGCACAGTGCGTCGCTCAGCTCTAAGGTTTACATCTACTTTATAGAACTGTGCTTTTCCCTGCTTTGATTTTACATAGGCATGCACAGGGGCTGTTAGAATAATGTACTATTGTTCATAGTGTAGTGATTCTATTTACTTTATTGCTTGCCTATTTTAGACTGTTAATCATGCCTCTCTCCTATGCCCCCGACTGCGGCCTTCTGCTGGGCCACACCCTGAAACTTTAGTATTATGAGAGGATTATGAGACTTGAAGAAGACTGACAGGAGTACTTTGGCAGGAAATAAGGGGATTACAAGGCAGACATAGGAAATTATGACACTTCAAACAAAGAAAGCAGGACCTCCAGAACACCTCTGGGAGGTAAATACATTAGACTAGGGCTGGACTAATCCCAGGAGCCAGGTTGTCAATGCTCCTTAAAAATTACAGCTGGCACCTAACTTTTGAGGTTCTCTAGTTGTTGTCAAATAATTCCAGGAACCAGCAGGATTGGTTTTAGGTGCCAGCCCTAAAAACAATTCTGCTGGTTCCTGGAATTATTTTTCAATCGATTCTTACCAGGACTGGTACATAACTTGCCATGCCCAGGCCATGAAGTAGCTGACACCAAGCCATGCTGGCATTATCACCCCCCGGGGGTTGCTTTACCTGGTATGATTAAAGGACACCGATATGCAACTTTTGTTTCTCCTTCCCAATAATAAACATCTGGCCCCAAGTGAAAGTCAGGTAACCCATCAGATCCAGCAGCTTGGTGACTCCGTTCAAAACATGGCAGAGATTGTGACACTACTAGTGTAGTCTCCCTGCACATCTGTATGTCCTAAATAGCTTAAAGATGTATCCTGACATAGCTCATGCCAAGATATAGCGGGGTCTGGGGATGATGGCAGATGCAGAGTCCCACCCACAGTTAACGTAGAGGTAAACCCGCACTGAATGAAATTTAGTTTACTATAGCACTGTGTCTCATAAACAATGGACATTTTTTCTATAATAAATTACGGTTTTCACCTTACCTTTATTCAATCTCAGTGCTGCTGACCTCCTGCTGCCTCTTTGCAGTCAGGTCTACCATAGCAACATGGAATTTCTCAGGACAGGCTTCCTGATGGTGACATCAGTGGACCATGCCTGTGCAAAATGTGTTGGCACAACCACTTGTAGTCTCCATCAGAACTCTGAGTGACAACAAAGGAACACATTCGGGGGGACAGGGAAAGAGAGCTGTCACCTCAACAGGAAGTGCCTGCACAAAGACCTTTGGAGCAGGATCAGCTGGCATTATTAAATAAAATCTGTGGATTTAGTAATACGAAATTTAAGAACAAAGTTAAGATTTTAGCGAACAAGTTTACATAACTTTAACTGATGAACTGGCAGCAGTGGGGTTCCCAAGTGTGCACTCTAATGTGCCAACCACAATGAAGATGCTAAAGGTTAGCTTTGGGACCCTCTCAATCAGACTGAGCCAATTCAGAGATCCCAAGGCATACTACAGCATCACGTAGTGTGGCCCCAAATTCCTTTCACAGTGTGGTCATTTTTTTAAAAGGAAGGACTTGGACAGTATGAAAGTGAGGAAAATCATCAGCAAAATGTAGGTTCTAAAACCTTTTAAAAGGATATATTCAACACAAAACAGTTTGCTTTGTGGTCAAAGTTGATTAGGCCAACTAATATGTGAATTCAGATGAACCTGTAGAGTTGTTATCTTCATTTGCTGCTCTCAATGTACCTGTCAGATTGCCAGACAGCGCTTTTTTGAAGTCTATGGGGCTGGCCAATTCTAAGGCAAGCAGCGAGAGAGAACGGAGGAACTGTAATGAGGCAAAGGAACTTAACCCAATTGATACTAAAAACTAAATGAATAGTTTAGAGTAGATTCGTTCACCAACAGTGTGTATTTAACATATGAGTCTTATATTATGTAATTACATTTTAAAATTACCAGTTCCGTTCTTACCGGGATAATCACAATAGTGGATTCGTCTTTTCTCCAAGTCTGGATTGTTTCTTCGGTTGTAACGAACAGAGTGAATGGTAGCTGGTGCCATTTGCACTGGAGAAGATAAGGTCGGGTTGTGAATGACCATCTTGGAAGCAATGGTGGCTGCATATGACGGAGGTGGGTTGAGGCTATGGAGCAGTTCTGCTTGCCTATCTGGGCTACCAGGCTCTGAGCTGGGGGGTGAAGGTGGGAAGTAGGTCCCTTCTTGCTGTTGCATGAACTGTCCATGCAAATTATATGAACACTGGGGAATGCCCTGAAATTGCTTCATTGCAGTCTGAGTTACGGGGGTGGGAAGTGTGTTGAAGCCAGTTAATTCCGAAGACAAGGAACCATTGCCCATAGTGTCCATGACTGGTGCCTGGTTTGTGGAGCTCAGGTCCATATCTGAGGAACTTAACAACTGGTACAGCTGACCGTGCTGGTGGCTTACAGGAATCTGGATTTCCGGTGATGGCATCTCTTGTTTGATGTAAATGTTATTTAGATCTGTGTTCTGGTGGTTGCTGAATATGCTGGTGAATTCTGGAAGAGGTTGTGTGGCCGCAGCATCGCTCTGCTGACTGAACACTGCAATGGGTTCTCGTTCCGTCTTAATGTGGGTGACTGGAGGCCTCTGAGCCTTGTACAAGTTTGTTCTGAGATGAGTGATGTCTGGGAGGAAGACGTTCATGTTGATACTGTAAGGAAGTCCATCACTGTCACTGAAGAACTGATCAATACCCGATGCACTGTCCCTCCTGTATTTCTTTTGATCTGGTATCATGCAAACTGGAACTTGATGAGGTGTCAGATACTTATCCATTTCATATCTAGTCTGAACATGAGAGAAAAAGAATATCAATTATTTACACGCACTGCATGCTGCGTACCAATTATATTTCACTTACAATAGCCAAATGTTGTCACAGGTATGCCTAATCCACACTTTTCTTTAGGACAATTCATATTCCTCAAGTCCCAACATATTGGAACAATTTCAAATATAAATTTGTTCTAAGATGACAACATTTTTAGAGAGGAAACCTAGAAACACTGGAGTGCATGGGAGCTGTCACTAATGACACCCAAATATTATGTTCTCTTTTCTCTTAGGGCAAAATAAATAAGAGTAAAGTAAAAAAATATATATTATATATGTGTAAAATGCAACTTCAAATGACTCCAGACTGATAGTAAACAGCATGTATGGCCATGCAAAAACTATTAGGGTCCAGCATGCCTTGCTTAGATTTCAGTTGTCAATGATTAATCCTGTAATGTGAACGTGCAATTTTTGCCTATGCGGTCCTCTCATATATAATCCATACTCAGATACATATCAAGCAGATCGTACAATTACAAGTGGTGCATTGTAGGCCGTGGGTGGCTGCAGGCTGATATTACCAGTGCAGTCATCAGCAAAACATTTATCATGTACTCTTCAATGGACAAATGCTACATTCCCCCTTGCACTGTAAAATCTTCAGTCATTCCTAATCCCCTCAGCATTCTCCAAAATGAATCAGCTGACAAATGGAAAACAAGTGTAATCATTCAGTGGAAATCAACTACAGCAAAACACGGGGAAAAAAAATCTCGTCCCAAAAACATAATACTCAGCGCTCATGTAGAAGGCTTTGAAACGGCTCAACCGAGGAAGGGAGTTGTACAGCTTGTTGTTGAACCATTGCCTGCAGCCTTCACATTAACAGGAAAAGACTTGTAGTACTTATGTGCAACATCAGTTACACAACTCACAGCTCCTACCACTATGAATGAAACAATTGCTGTGGAGAGAGAGCGAGCGAGCGAGCGAGCGAGAGAGGAAGAGCGTGAGAAAGAGAAAAGAGAGGAAGAGAGAAAGAAAGAGAAGGGAGCGAGGGGAAGAAAGAGGAGCGAGAGAAATCATGTAATAACAATATTTATATATATATATACACACACACACACACACACACACA